TGGGGTAGGGAGGCTGGCTGAGGTGGATGAGGAGCCTGAGGAAGTAAGATAGGTTGAGATGGTGTTGAGAGGTGTCCTTTCCGTGGGCATCTAAAGGGCTGAGGTCTGTGGTTGCTGCTAGTTTTACATAGTGTTTTAAAAAACGACGAGTCGCAACAGACTCGCCCGAGTTGATAGGGGAATCGGTCACACCATGTCGATTCTACTGAAATACGCAAAGTCGCCTTATTATAGAGAAGAACTGTCGAGTCGCTATAATGATCAATCGAGTCGCTACAGTGAACCGTCGAGTTGACGTCACGGGTCACCGGTTTTGTCCAAGAATCGAATTTATGATGTCGTTTAGGAATTGATGACGTCAATTGTTGGAGCTCATTAGAATATGAGCTGCGTATAAACGTACGCTTACGCTCGCAAGCTCATGAGTCGAGGCTCTTCCACACGTCAACCTCACGCTTATTAGGATGGTAACCTACATTTTATACTAACTTAGCCTTTCGAAAATTGTCGATGTGGGACTAATTTTTGTCTCTTTTGAGCGGGCTAGTCAACTGCCTTAGCATCCAGCGTCTGCGCTTTTGGTGCCATTTAAAGCATGCTTTTGAAGCATGCGTGCCATATTAAAATTGCATGCGTGTCAATTAAATGAGCATGCTTTTGAAGCATTCCATATTAAATGAGCATGTCCTCTAATTTATGAATTTAGTGTGGCATATTAATGAGCGTGTCATGTTTCCAAATTAACGAGTCGGGCCTCGTGAACATATTTTTTAATTAAATAAATTACTTAACGTGCCAAATTAAAAAACGGCCATATAAATTTTTTTGTTATTTATTAGTAAAATGGTTTTTTCGATAGGTTTTATTACAATATTTTATTTTTATTTTTATTTTTTTTGTAGCTATTGTGCATATTGCCGATAGGATTTTTTTTTATTTTGTGAATTTTGACATCTTTATTTTTCATATTTTTGGGGTAAAGTTTTTTTGAATTTGTATAATATCACAACATTAGAATTAATTGGTGGTTTTATTTTCAATTTTAATCATATGATATGGAAGCATTTTCTAATAATTTTATAATCACGTTTACTATAATATTATAGTTAATAGTTATATATTGATAACCAAGTCATGTATTTTATTTATTTATTTATTTACATTATAAATTATGTAATGTATTATATTTCTTATAGTTGTAAATAAGATTTTTTAAATTTGATGATATTATGAGACATTTTAGATTCGTTCTTATATGTATAGTAAAATAATTATAAAATATAAACAACAGTTTCAATTTCATTACATAATTTCAATTTCATTACGTAATATTTTTAATATCATAACATTGTGAATTATTTTCAATTGATTGTCAATTTATAATTATCATGTGAAAATAACTTGTATTGTTCAACTTTATTGTCAATTATTTAATGCAAATACATATTGTAAAATTTTAAGTTTTCTTTGACTAATTAATTTTAAAACAATTTGTTAATTAAAACTGTGAATTAATCTCAGGTGCTCACTAATTTGGATGATTCATTCCTAGTTCGAGTCAATGAATTGTCATGCGAATTCAATCAATGACACTAGTGTGACCAAGATAAAGAAAGACGTCTTTCATTTTATTATTAGGTCGTATTTTACTAATTGTATGCTTTATTGTAGTTCATGTATGATAATATACTTCATCCATGATAATTCTATGCTTCTCCTTTTGTGTGATGCAAATTTAATGGTTAACAATAGTTCATATAGGGAAAGAACATCTCAATATTCGCATATTGATGCAAAAAAATGAAAGTTCTTAATGGAGTACCCCCATTTCTTATTGGATTTTATAATGAATTTTAATAAATTTTTTGGATTTTTTTTAAGGCTGAATCCGATCGATTCGGGTTGATTCCCGATCCGGATCGCCAGTTCACCGATCCGGATGGGCTTTTGGGGTGCCCGATCAAGAGCACCGATCTGTTTTTTAAACGACTGGTTTTACGTCTTCTGGAGACGAGGGTCCAATGGTCTGAAGTGTCGGGAGGATGAACGAAAGACTCTTTGTGAGAAAAGGCACTCTGAGAGAGCCCCATCGGCAGTGAGGCGAGGAAGGAGATGCCGTTGACCAGGAACTGAAAATTTGAAAGAAGTGTCCAGCCACTTCTAGATGTACTGGGGATCGAGAATGTCAACAATGAGTAGAAGGGACCCAAGCAGAAGGTTCTCCATCGACTTCCAGTGAACTGCTACAAAGGAGCCACAAGCATTGCTGATGGGTTTGAAATCCTGACGCCAGTAATGAAGGGGAATATCAGAAGCTGTAATCCAAGTTTTTTGCTTGCGGAAGGCTCCCAAATCTTCAGTCCATTTGGAGAGGTGTAGGGAAGCTCCCTTGAAGGAGCTCAGGGATGGACATTGAAGGATGGATACAACTACTGCGACGGAGGGAAATGAAAACAGGTAGCCCCCATTGGAAAGAGGCCTACGCTTGAGCTGTGGTTCCTTCCAGCTAACCTTGGCCCATCTTTCTACGCTTTTGTGGTCATTACGCTGGGGGTGGAAGACACCGACCACGGAGGATTTGTATAGGTTAGCGAGGTTAGAACCAGATGAAGTGGGGAGGGAGATGAGGGGAGGAGAGACGTTACTGCTAGCCATGAAAAAATCAAAACATCGTTATAGAGATGTTAAAAATCAACAAAGACCTTGAATCTTTTGTAATGTGTAAACGTGTAAAAGGATTCCATCGTATCGGGGTTACAATTAGAGGAAAGTCATTGTAGATTTTTTAAAAAAAAATAAATAAAGAAAACCATTTGATATGTGTTGTTAGAATAAAACATTTGGGGCCAATTTGACAACTGGAAGCTGGAGAATTGAGGTTCTGGAGTCTGGAAATTGGAAGTTTTGATATCTAGGTCTAAAAATACTATGTTTGATGAACTGTCTTGAATTCTAGTGGATTATGGAAACCTGTGTTTGATTAAATCTGGAAGCTTCCAAACCTGGAGTTTTTAAAATGAGTCAGTTTTGAGAGCATGTTTGACTATTTCAATGTACCTGATTTTTTTCTTGTGCATCGGATTGAGCTAAAATTTTGGTTATCCACACTTCTGACCCATCTGCGCCTATAGAAAATATATAAAAAATAATCAAATGACAAAAATAACCAAAATAACCCCGAAATGTTTGGGGCATTTTGGTCATTATATTTTTTAAAATTATGTTTATATCTTTTAGAGATGCATCCAATGAAGCAAACGCTCCTCGAGTTTCATTTGAATATGATATTTAAAAAAGTTAATAAAATTGAAAGATGAAAGGAGGGCAAGGTAATAGAAGATGTGTGCATTTCTCATTCTTTGAGAAGCTCGCATATTTAAATATTTTCATGATTTATCTACAATATTATTTTTCCAAGTATGTCCTTAGGTTGTCTTCTTTCTCATGTGGCATGCAAAATTTGGTATTCATCTGTCGTACAACAAAGATTGACCATATCTTCATATACTTGAGGCATGAAGGTCCCCATTGGTAGTTAAGCCATTTGATCAACAAAGGAACCCTATGTGCTGAAATAGATTAATAGATTTATGAGAAAGATTGAAAGTGAAAAAGCTAAAAACATAATAAAGTACTATGGCTACTAGGTTTTATAGTTAGAGATGTTGAGAGGCATTATCTTAGTCTGGAGGGAAGCTAGTACCATCTTGTTACAATGTTCAATTTTTTGTCTATGCATGTCCTCTGCACCCTAATGATTAGCTCACAAATCATACATAACTGAAGTGTTGTTTTCAATATGTGTTGATCTTTCTAAGTCATTGGTGAGGATTATAGGTCTGATATAACCATGTAACTTCAGCTGGGAGCTCATGTCGATTCCAAGCTGATGATGTCAAGTTATGTGCAAAACGCCTCAACTTCAGAGCTTAGGAGTGTATCTTCTTAGGATTTCATGGAGGCCTTGAATCATTTGCAATGTGTGGATGGGGTAAAAAGATTCTGCCTTGGGAGGATTACAATTAGCGAGAGTAATGAAGTGGTTAAAGTAGACTGTATACCTTTGGGACTGGGGTGTTTGAAGTCTTAGTCATTATTTATGTACACTATCGTTTTGCAAGCGCGCCAATAGTTCTTCTGACTAGTATGTAAAATTTGGTAGGCAGCAATCAAAAGAAGAAGATCAACCTATGTTTTAAGAACGCCTCAGACTCAGGACTTGGCAGGGTCCAATATCCGATCCACTTGTATAGACTCAGCCAAGTCTGTGCAAAAATAACAATAAGATATAGAAATCGAACGAGTTTGGCTGGTTCCGTACTGAGTTTTAAATACCGAGATCAACACTTTCCTGGTATACTTGAGGTGCCAGGGGTCCTCTTGAGTTATTGGGCCATTTGATCAATTAAAGGAATCTTCTGAAAATGTTGGAGTCGTAAAGTTCTCCATGTTGTACCTAAGTCACCAGAGCATTTCTTATGCAGTTAGTATCTTGAGTTAATATTTTATTTTTCTTAGTTATTTATTTTCTGAGGAAGTTATGAAAAGATATTATCCAATCAAAGTTATATGTGAATATACTTTTGCATATTTTGATTTTTAATCATATATCTTCAATAAATGTTGTATTCATGCTTATAACTTGACCATGTAGGAGATCTATGGATCTTTATTGAAGATTATTACTGATTATCTGAATGATTGTATTTGGCCAACCTGGTAATATAATAACATCCTGTTACTCAGAAGTAATAAAACTTGGTTCTTGAATGCTCCTATATATAGATATGGAGCTTTTCTTAGTTAGTGAGCTCCTTAGCTGCAACAATTACAAGGTCATAAAGTCCCCCCTCCCAAAAAAAAAAAAGGAAAATACAAAGCCAAAAAGTCTGCTGAATGTGTAGTATGCAAGATGGACAATCTTCCTCATTCACATAAATGGAACATAGCTTAATAAAGCAGGGGGCACTTATTGCTTTATGGGTTTTTATTAATTGCAGGTAACTTCAAGGCAGCATTTGATATCCTAACCAAAATGCAGGAAGTGGGGATCCAACCCGATAGGGTGGCTTGCACCATTCTGGTTCAGAAATGCTCTGAAGCTGGTAAAATACCAGTTTTGTCCCAAACTCTTCTTTACATGAAGGAAAACTCTCTAATTCTCCGGCGACCCATTTATCTGAAAGCCCTAGCAGCTCTGAACATGGCTGGCAAAAGTGAGAATCTCCTCCGAGAAGTCAATCCTCATTTCTCTTTGGAAGGATCCATTGAGGAGGCAAATTCATTTAACATTCATCCTCATATAGACAGAGATATTCTCATCAATCTTTTGGCGCAAAGAAACTTTGTTGCAGTAGAAAGATTACTAGAGGGAATCATGGAGAAGAATGTCCAGTTGGATGCTACACTTATTGCCACCATTATCAGGGAATTTTGTGCTAATTTTAGCTCGTCTGGTGCATGGGTTGCTTTTGAATATGGTAGAAAGGCAGGCTTAAATCTTGAAAGAGCTGCATATATTAATTTAATTGGGTTCTTCATGAGACATGGTTTGCATGAAAAGGTTGTGGAGATTGTTGAAGAAATGGGCAAAATGGGTGTCCTTTTTGGAACTTATCTTGTATCAATTTTGATTTTAAGACTTGGGTCCATTGGTATGCCTTCTTTTTGTGAAAGGATTTTTTATTCTTTACCTGGTGAGCAGAATAATGTCACTTATACTGCTCTAATGGATGCCCAAATAAAATCTGGTTTTCTTGATAAAGCTCTTGAGCTTTACTCGAGTATGATAAGGCATGGGATCAGCGCTTCCTCGGGAACATTTGAAGTTTTAGGGATGGGCTTGGAAGGAGCTGGAAGGTCTCATGAAGCAGAAATATTTAGGAAGCAACAGAAAAAGTTAGCTTGTACTGGTTATCATAAGGGGCTTCTTATAGATCATAATTTATGCAGTGCTCTCTTTGATAATGGCTACAAGGTTGCTTACTGATATGAAGTTGTCTTCATGTCATGAGAGCCAATGCTGAAGGATGCCGAATGACCATTAGCATCAAAAGGCTAGGATGAGGAAGTGTCCACTGTCAATTTCATGAGCTGTAAATTGTGGCAAAACTTCCAAGCTAAGCTTGATGGAAACTTGGGCAAATTTCATGTGGGTGTTACCACTTCCTTCCCTGTTATCTCAATTCGCTTGACCTAGTTGCAAAACATCAAGCTTGGCTACAAAAGCAACTCTTAATGTTTTATTGTTCATGTAGGATGCATATTTGTTGTTGCCAAGAGAGAAATGTTGCTGAGGAGGGAGGGACGGATAATGCTTACATGTGAGAGAGAGAGAGAGAGAGAGAGATTTTAATCAATAGGGCTTCCTCTGTTTCTCCACTCATTGCTCCTAGGATGCTGCTAGCTGGTCATTCATGACAAAATGACAAAAGATCTCAACTGGCTGGGTTAAATGGGGAATTGGTGCCAATATCTTATTCGATGTCAGCAGTTTCTTAGCAGGGCGGTGCTTGGGTAACATGCCATTACAAGTTGCATTTTCTGTGCCTTGAATTCAAGTTCATATTCATATGATTTAACTTGTCTTACAAACTTTCTTCAAAATCAAGTTCTTATGATTGAGCTCGTGTTATGAACTTGTCTTTTGTATTTGCAGGTTGAAGGAAGATAAAAGGTTTGCAAAAATTGTCCTGTGTGGACCACTAAATGTTCAAGGAAGGTGTTGCCTTAGAACCTGATGAGTGAACTCCTGCTATTCAAAGGAGCGTAGAATGATGGACAGGGGTTCTAGTTTCTATTCCTCTTTTATCTGATCCGTTGAATATATTACTGAATAATATGTTGAACTAGTTTGATGAGGGTGTATAATTTGTTTGCATTTGTCCTCTGATCAATCTTTTGTTTTGCTTCAATCGTTATTTTACATTCTCCAGAAATATGCCCAGAAAGAAGGGGGAAGGGGGGCGTGGGGGAAAAGCTCTATCTTCCTCTTATTGTTTCTGTTTGTTTAGAAAAGTAGATTAATGCCAGGTCATGTGTTGTATAAGAAAACAATATTAATGTTAGGACACGGTTGCTACGGGTCCATGTAGAAATGAGTCACCTCTTAAAAATCTATTTTTGAGATGGATTTTTGGACTTAATTTTTAAGGACATGTAATATCATGAATATGAAAAAATAAATAAATTTTAAAATTGAAAATAATAATTCTATTAATAAAACATTTGGATCATTAGTTTCAATTATTTTTAGATGGATTACCTATTTGCATCTATCTTTAATATGGATGATTTATACCTTGGGGACAGCAAATGTAGAAATGCAGTCCATGAAACAATGTCTTAAAAAAGCCTTTTTAAGAACCGTAATCTCTCTCTTCTAATTAGTAAAGGTTTTCTCTCACTAAAAAAATGAAGTACAACTATAATAAACATACTCCTTAAAGACAAATTCTCTCTGTAAAATAAAAGGATGTACTCTCTCTCCCAACAATTAAAAAAGGATGCATTTTCTTTATCTAGAATTAATGACTGCTATTATGGAGACTCCCTTTCTAAAGACTCTCGAACCTTACTTCTCTTCTCAAAATAAAAAAATTACTCTCTTCTCCAAAAATTGGAAAAGGTATTTTTTTTTCTCTCAAAATTAAATGAATAGAAGTATAGTACAATAAAAATTCATCTCCCTGAATTCTCTCTCCCTAAATAAATGAACTGTACTTTATTTCTCTCAAATATTAAAAAAATGGTATCTATCTCTCTTTAATATAATTAAATGAATATAAAGTGCAATTACAATAAAAACTCTCTCCAAACTCATCTCTCCCAAAAGATAACTGACGTATTTCTTTTCCTTTAAGAATCTAAGGCAGGGGCCTAGATACATGGCCACCTAAGCCCATTTGCTTTGGTGGCATGCATGGATCGCCTAGGTGATTAGGGAGCCGAATTTTTTAACAATGTTCATTAGCATAAAGTTAACTCAGTTTGCGAATGAGTTGTCAGTTGTTCACACACACATACATACACATGCATATACACATAAGGCTGAGGCTTTAAACAATCAAAATAAGGTGCACCTTCAAGTAGTATCAAAAGATGTTTTAGTACTATAAATCTTTGTGATGGCCTGAAACTAAAATTGCATCTCTAATTATAAAATTTAAAACTTAAAAAATAGGGTAGATTAAGCAGATTTATAAAATTCTAAAAATCTTGAAAATTAATGGTCAAGAAAAAACATTATAAGATGCACTATTTTCAATACTTGAAATCCATTTTTTTTCATGTTCATATAGCTTGAGGTCGAGATGACTGATTTGAGGATTTTGGGGCAACAAAACAACCCTTTCTAGTGAATTTTTGAGTTGTGCTTTAATTTGATGTGTTTACTGTTCTAAATATGGTTCTTTTATGACTACAAATTCTCAAAAACATGTTTGGAGGCTTGTATCAAACACATTGTTTCTTGTTTCGAAATTTTTTTGCATGGCCAATAGTAAATGATGAAAATGCTAGCAAACGATTTTGGTTTTTGTTGGCGACGCACTAGCAAACTTTCTCATGTGATCACTATTATTGTTCTTTGGAGACTTTTGAGGATGACATAATTTATTATTAAATGACAATTAAGGGGTGGACATTTGGCATTCAATTAGCTAATATTGCTGATGAGAAAGTAATCATAGGGTAGGAAAGGGGTTGGGGTCATGGCGGTAGCTTCTCCCCATCTAATCACCACATTGTAGTTTCCATTCCTCTCACTAACATCACCTTACTAACACCATCAAAAATCTAACTCCACCCTACTAACATCATCAAAAATCTAATTCCTAATCTACTTAAAAAAACAGGTAAGGGGTGGTCTTACCTATTGAAATTACCCAAAAAAACGGTTAAGGGGCTGTCTTACCTATTGAAATTACCCAAAAAAGAGAAAGTAATGATAGGATCGTTGCCCCGATTGGGAGATATTGTGGGGTATATTGTGAGAGCAATCGTATGTCTCTTTTGATCTCCTAGATGATTTCTCTCCGTACTGTGCACCGGAACTCACAATATCATTCTTAAATGCAAAACATGAAAGGATCGGTCTCTTTTTCTCTGTGTTCCTGTACTCAGTATCCAATAATCTTCTCTGTATGGTTCTTAGATCTAAAATTTAAAATGAAGTCAACGAATGCTAGGGATTAATGTTGAGATAACCTAACAAGAAAAGAGAAATTGAGGGAGGGTGAGTCAAGAATTATGGCATGTTGTAAGTAATGATTTATTAGCCGTCTTTACAAGAATTTCACGAGAGAGGGTTCATTAACCGAGCTCTGAATTCCAGTTTTATAACTCATGTCCCAAAGAAGCATAATATTCAATTGACTTTGATAAGGCTTCCGATAGTGTTGAATTGGATTATCTAGACAATCATTTTAAGATTATTGGGTTTGGTGATTGATGGAGGTTGTGGATCAGAGGTTGCATTTCTTCGACCCAATTTTTTGTTCTTATTAATAGGCAAGTAGTTGAATATTTTAAGGCATCGAAGGGACTTAGACAAGGGGATCCCTCTCCCCATTTTTATATACATTCATAGCAGAGTCCTTCTTGATGTTATAGGGGGTTCTCTATGCTAGATTATTATGTGGCTTGCCGGCCCTAGAAAATGGTCCTATAGTGTCCCACCTTCAATTTGTGAAAGACATTCTATTGTTCCTCAAGGCTTCCTTTAATTATGTTAAACAACCATGGCTTTTCTTCAAATGCTATTAGTTGGTTGTAGAGATGAAGTTAATATGGGGAAAACTTCTCTCATGTGTCTCAACTGCTTGGTTGAGGAAGTTTGAGTGGACCCCTTGGATGGGATGTGAGTTTTAATTCTTACCTGTGAAATATTTGGGCTTACCTCTGTGGAAGGTTTTGGGTGGTACCCTGTGATAGGGAGATTCCATACAAAATTAGATGAATGGAAATGTAGTTACTTGTCTTTGGGCAGCAGAATCAAATTGATTAAAGCTACACTTTCTAACCTTCATGTGTACTATTTCTCTTTGTTTAGAGCTCTAGCAACAATCATTCCAAGTTGGAGATAATGAGAAGCTTCCTATGGAGTGAGGGGGGGAAGATCGAAAGAAACACAACTTGGTAAGGTGGTTAAAAGTGTGTTTGTCCAAAGGTCAGGAAAGTGTTAGCATTCTGAGCCTAAGAAATGTCAATGACGCACTATTAACTAAATGTGGTGGCAATTAGCCTTAGGGGATACCTCTTTTTGGAAACAGGTCCTCTTCAATGAGTATGGTGTAGATGCCAATGGTCTGATTACTAGGAGAATATCCACAGGGTTTTTGACAGTTTGGAAAGAATTTGAGAAAGTAAGGCCCATATTTCTAGCTTAGAGAAGGATGTTAGTAGGTGATGGTGGAAGGACAGAGTTCCGGTCTTCCAAATGGTGTGGAGACTGCCCATTGAAAACCAAGTTCCCAGATTTATACAAGTTGGTGAGTAGCAAAACTTGTTTGGTTAAGGATGTGGTAGAGGGAGAGGCTTCCAATATAGTGTGGAATGTCCACCTAAGGCGGAGGTGGGTGAACCCCTAGGTGGTGCAACAATACTTTTGATTCTCTCGTACGATCATTTCCACCTCCCTTCTAGGCTAGATAAACCGATTTTGGAACTTACTCTGAGCGGGAGTTTTTCGACTAGCTTTCTTATACAGTCCTTAGGAGGGATAGGTCATTTCATCATTTGGTGCGGGTTACTACGATATGAAGTTCAAAGTACCCCACAGGATGCAAGCTTTTATGTGGTTGGTTGGAAGAGATGGGGAATTATCTATTGAACATCTACGCAAGAGAGGGATGATTATCACCATCAGATATATCTTTTGAGGGAAATGCTGAATCTAATGATCATTTGTTTCTTCACTGCCATTTCTCTTTAGAGTTATGGGAGTGGTTACTCCAACAGGTTCAATTTTACTGGGTATTGCCGCGTACTGTTGACCAGCTGTTCGTACAACAGAGTTACACGCCATTCTCAAAATGTGGATTGGTCTTATGGAGGATTGTGGTTGTACCTTTGAAGATAAGCCCTGTGATCTGGATAATATAAAAAGGGCCATACTTATGATGACAATTAAATGGGTTCAAGCATATAAGAACTTAAGTTGTGTGCCAAAGGAACAATTTCAATCTAATTTAAGAGATCTGCTGCATCTTAAGAGATTAGTTAGGTCCAGAAAAGCCATAGGGTGGATTCCACCACAACCACTTAGGTAAAGATTAATCTTGATGGGAGTGTGCGTCAAGATTGTTTGCGGGCAGGTTATGGAGGGTTGTTAAGAGACCATACAGGTCACACAATTTGGACTGTGTCTGGGTCCTTACCACCTTGCTAGGCTAATGAGGTGGAGCTTCAAGCGCGAGGAATTACGTGGCAGAAGTCGAACAATAGTTTCATAAATTGATCATTGAGGGGAACTTAGATAATGTTCATAGATGTTGTAAGGATGCCTCCACAACTCCCTGGAATTCATGAGTGTTATGGATGAGCTTTGTTTGTCCTATCTTTATCTATCCATGTCAATAGGGAAATGAATTATGAGGCTCATGCTCTAGCTAGGGCTGCCAATGTATTGTAATTTTTCTTTGCTTTTGGGGCTGGGGATTTTGTTAAAGCTTCCACTGATGTAACTTTTATCCTGTTTGAGGCCTTAGCCCGGTTCTGTATTTTCATTCGTATTAATGAAACCTTTGTTGAAGTTCAAAAAACTAAAAATAAAAAATGTGGAGAAAAAGAGATATTAGTTGGAGAAAAATTTGTTGTTAAAAACCAATATTTTGTGAAATATTTCAAAAAATATCAAAGTTGTTTAACATTATCTACTAATAAGGGAGAGCTATGAAATTATTAGACAAGAGGAATTTAGTATGTACAGACATCGAACCAAGGGAAAAATAATCATCAAATAGGGACCCCGTTTGCTATGAAATCAATGTTTCCCTTGTTGATTGCACCCGTTCGAGGTGCTAATTTTTTGAAGTTTGCATTTTGAGTTTTGACAAAGAAATTATGCACTAAGATGGTTTGCTTTTATATCTGATTGGTGGGTTAAACTGGTCACTCACTTGCTTCAAGCCGAATCAGTCGACTCAGCAAGTTAGTTGGGCTGACTTGATGAGTTGGTTGGGACAACTCGATATTTTTTTAAAAAATCTATAAAATTTAATCTTATTTATTTAAAAATCTCAAACAAGACTTACGATTATAATGTTTTCATGGCATATTACCCATAAAAACATAACTTTTAATGTCAACTTATCCGAGTCCCGATTCCATGGGGTACACAGACCAATCGCCCACCACTTTTGAGCCGTTCAAGTGGTTCTCAGCCAGCTTGATGCTCTTTCAAGCACCGCTTTTGGTACAAAAAGTATTGATCACTCCTAGTTCTAGCCATCATATAAGGAATTGGAATGCATGGTGTCTGGAATTAACCACACTTGAAGTCCCTTTGCTTGGAAATAGACGTGACATATCTCAGCTGGTTGATTTCAATCTTTATGGCTAAAGGTAATTGTGACTTTGTTCAAAGGTATACAATTTAAAAGCATACAATATCTTTGAAAAATAACAAACTAGGCCCCCGTCATTATCAGACTTGACTTAAAACAAAAGGGCGAATACAATGTATATGTACATTATAGTATATAGGATTTAGACTACAATCCACCATCAAGGTTGTAGTGTATGTTGTTCTTGGACGACATAGTTGTGATTGATGAGCCCGAAGAAGTGTCAACACAAAGTTAGAACTTTGACAGAATATTTCATAATCTAAAAGTTTTAAAATTAGTCAGATTGAGACAAAGTATATGGAATGCAAGTTTAGTAATAAAAGAAGTAAAGACGCGGAAGTAGTTAATATTGATAGCCAAAAATTACCAAAAAGAGCAAATTTGCGATATATTAGGTCGATAATCTAAGAAAATGAAGAGTATGAAAACGATGTGACATATAAAATTAGAGCTAGGTGGGCAAAGCAGATATGTGTAACTAGAGTTTTATGTGATCGCTGCATATTAATGAAGTTGAAAGGAAAGTTATATAGGATAGCTGTGAGACTAGCTTTGTTTTATAGGGTGGAATATTGGGCAATCAAGATTTACCCATAGGATGAGTGTAGCTAAGATGAAGATGTTGAGATGGATGATTGGCAAGACAAGAAAGGATATGATTCGAAATAAATATATTCAGGAGAACTTAGGTGTGGCTCCAATAAACGATAAGATAAGAAAGTAAACTTAGGTAGGTTGGTAATGTGCAACGGAGACCTAGTATAACATCTGTTAAGATGTGCGATATGGTTCAAGTGGAAGGCTATAAAAGAACAAAAAGCAGGCCTAAAAAGACATAGTTGGAAGTAGTGAGAAAATAAATGGAGACTTATGTCCTCACTGAGGGTATAGCCCTAGAGCAAAATGACGCATTATGATTCATGCAACCTACCTCAAATAGTTGAGAAAAGGCTCTGATGATGATAATGACAACTACGATCCACCATCAATTAATGAATGGTGAATATCAAAAGTTTTACTGCAATTAGTCAACATACGATGGATGGACGGCATATCTATGTACCATATTCTAAACGCTTAACGTGTATACAATAATATAATCAACTAAGACCAATCCCCTCACTAGAGTTTTCCATGACTATTTTATTAAAAAATAGGATGAGGTTTCTATATGGCCTAGGCTTTTATGAAACAAAATAAAGTCTCATCTCAAATCCTCATCCAGAAAGCACTTTCAGTAACAAGAGTATCCATGATGGCTCTAAAATCAATTTCCAGCACCAACAATGAAATTCGAAACACAAAAAATGGTACAAATCTTGCGGATATATGACCACTTACTTTAAGGGTGAAATGAACAATATAGGGAATTTGTAACAATATACACTTTTTTAGAGCTTGAAATCTTTTCTTCTTTTTTTTGATCATAGGTAAAGATTTTCTAATATATGAATTGCAATTTTTGATGAGATATAAGGTAAGGCTTTACTTATTTTAATAGGGCTGGAGCCCTATCAAACCATGGGGCAAAAAAATGTAAAATAATTAACCTAGGTCAGCTTTTGGGTTTTTTAAGAATGTTTAACCATATTTAACTAAGTATAAAGCTGATATTTTCCTTAAAAGGATGACAGAATGACAGGCCCATAATTGTTATTTTATTACCAAAAATACATATAATCACGGTTGGTAGTTCATACAAACAGGGATGAAACATACAATTAAAAATCTAGGTCTATTTGGGTTTTAAGAAAGTTTAGCCAAATTAATTTTGTCCAAAAAAAATGTTTAACCAAATTAAGGATAAATAAAACTGACATTATTCTTAAAGGAGGCAGGTTTATAATGAATTCTTTTTAGGGAAAAAGAAACATAACAGTTTCACCAAAATATTCATTAAAGAGGTAAACATAACAGTTTCACCAAAATATTCATTAAAGAAGTTAGGTCTATTTCTTGGTCTTTGGAAAGTTTAACCGCATTTAGTTAAGTTAAAAAGTGACATTTTTATTGAAGGAGGGCAGGTTGGTTTTGTTTGATTCCTTCAGATATTGGTTTTCTTTCATGCACGAGGCCCGTTTGAGGAACCAGGACAATGTCTAGATATATATATTTATAAATGCAAAGGTCAACAAATATGGCTGACTTCACTTATTTATAATAAGGTCTGGATAATTTATATATAAATGCAAAGCTCAATGACTATGGCTATGGCTTCACTTATTTATAGTAAGAAAGAGCAATTGCTACTTATAGTAAGAAAGAGCAATTGCTACTTATTCTATATGGTATATGCAATTATCCATTATGTCTGCAAACTCTTTTTAAGTTTCAATGTCAGTTCTCTCACTACTCCCACGCCCAACAAGAGATAATCAGAGAAACTCTGAGATAATGGGTGTACTCTCACTAAACAAGGGTTTCTTCCTGTGTATTCTTGCAAGCATTATTATGATTGTAAGTTTCCAGTGTGGTAGCAGTTTATCTGTTTTTGCAGGAGTGATATCCATTAATGGGGGCTCTTTCTTTGCTGAGACTGATGAATAGTTTATCTGTGCCTCCAGATAGGCGTAAGTATGGGACCTGCAGCTGGGCTCATCCATCATTGCTCAGTATGGTAATCTCTCTCTCTCTCTCTACTACTAC